AGAGAGAGAGAGAGAGAGAGAGAGAGAGAGAGAGAGAGAGAGGAGTCTTCCCTGAGCTCCAGTCAGGTTTGGGGTTTTGGGGATGTCAGGATGTCTCCGTCTTTACGCGCCGGCGCGGTTTTACTTTGCGCGTCGTTGCTTTCAACTTAAATCATGCTTAGTTCGCTCTTTGGTCGCTTCTAAACACTACATGTCAGCCGTGCTGTGACACGCTGATCGACCAGCTGGGACTTCTGCTGACTTAGCTGTCGAGCTGGCAGGTTTTCACCGGGGAAACCTTCCGTGATTTTTGGCGTTGCAGCCGGAGCGCAGGAAAACTTCTCGGGATGGACGTACCGGTCATCATTTTGCTCATCGGCTTGAGCCACTCCCAGATGAAAGGTAAAGGAAAATGGAGGTGGAGAAGGTTGCATGCTAAGAAAAAAAAAAGGCTTTTTATTCTCATGTCTAATTTATTGTCAACACGCTGCGCACATGCTCATGAAACTTGCTTCTCCAAATGCATACTGACATTCACAGAAGAAGAAACATATCTGAACACTATAAACTGCTATAAGTAAGATCCTCATGTTTCAAGAGCCTCAGCTCCTTTAAACTCTGTATATATCCTGCAGTAGAATGACAGAAATCTCGTTTCTCTTAGGAATTGCATAGATGGAGGTGGACAAGCGTGAAATAGGTGCTTCATTCTTGTTCTCTTAAAGACAGAAGAGACAGAAATCTTAGAATTCAGGCAGCTTTTCAATGATTGAGCGAGGATTCAATTGTTTTTTGTTTTTAACTAAATGAGAACAGTAAGGACACAGACCAGTCGGCAGTAAAAAAATTCAATACCTATGAATAAATAATAAATGTGACAGTATGGTGACCCCTGTTTGTTCTCCTGCAAATTGAAACATCTGAGACTGTTCAGATGTTGGGATTGGATTTTCCAGACAGACAGACAGACAGTTGTGTGTGTGAGGGTGAGGGGGATCGAGCTCCGATTCATGTCTTATTCATTCACACCACACGTACCCACTCGCATGTCTCCCACCACCTCCACCTCTGTGACTCATCTCCACATCCCCTGTTGTGTCACAAGTGTTTGGCTGCATGAGGTTTTTGCGTGCATTTGTTTCACACACCAAAAACATGCAAAAGACAGAGGCAACGTGTTGTTTTGTTCCATATTGTGATTGGTTGTTGTTGTTGTACGATATTGTTGAAATCATACCAGTTTCTGTTGAGATAAGTTGTGATTTGATGAAGATATCTGAATAAGCAGTGGCATAATATAGCTTCGTGGGATTGATGATAAAGGTCGTATTTTAAAATGTAAATTTTGATTGCAAATTAATTAAAACACATGTAAATATTAATAATCCAGCACCAGTAACTGTCTGGTTGACACTCCAACAAAGATAGCAGCAACATACAGCACAGTTCTGGCTACAGACTCTCTCCACCTCCTAACACACATATTTTGAGTGTGATTATATATAGCTGACAATCAATCTGTTTCTGATTCTGATTAATTGCTATAAAGCGAGAAAACACCCTGATAGTTGATAGTTATTCCAGTTTCTATAGATATCGTGATAACATCGTTATCGTGAGCTCCTTTGTCCAAGATAATCGTGCAGTGAAAACCTGATATGAGGGCAGCTGTGATTTGGATGTGAGGAAAATGCCAATAGTGAAAGTGACATACATTAAGGTACGAGTCTGTTTTGCAAAATACTGGACTTGTTTCATTTTATAGCAATTACTGTGCAAGCTTTGTTTTATAGCTTTTTGCACCACTTGACATGCACAAGTCTGTAAGTTGCAAACAATGAAAACCACACAACATCCTCAGTGCAGTAAACACTTCACTGCATTTCTACATTTTCTTTTTCTGTCTTTAGTTGAGTATCTGGGCTGTTGTTGGGTTTAGTCAATATCTGTCACGGAACAATCAATGTCCAAAATTGCTGTGACATTTTCTGCAATTTGGTGAGAAATGACGAGGAAATGAACACCGCTGCGCACTCAGCTCAGTCTTTTCTGCAAACACTTGAGATGATGTGTTCAGATAGTCAAATCTGTGTCTGATGACAGCAGATAAGAGAGGGCAGAGGAGGAGGCTGGTTCACTTTGGTCACAAAGGTTCAAGCACAAAGACAGCGGAGCAAGGATTAGGTTCAGCCCAGCATGACTCATATGTTTAGCAGTCACTGTATTCTGTAAAGCAATTCAGTAATTTGGACTACTTTGAGTTTTATAAGTATATGCTGACAGATTAGACGATAATCTGAGTATACTGTAGACCAGGGGTGGGCAATCCTGGTCCTCGAGGGCCACAATCCTGCATGTTTTAGATGTGTCCCTCTTCCAACACACCTGATTCAAATGATCAGGATCGTTATCAGGCTTCTGCAGAGCTTGATGATGAGCTGATCATTTGAATCA